TTTTCTTGTTGATATATCACTCCAGTCTTGATTGCTAAAGTAAATAATTCATTTCCCAAATTTAATTTCAATTGAAAACCGTTACTGAACAACATTCATATATGGATTTGTGCCACATTCAAAATTTGGGTATTAGAATTTATATTCTAACTCTGTGAATGATTTATAACGCTGTACTGATTTAATGCATTATTCACTACCCATATTTTCTCTTAATTATTTCCACTATGTTAACTAGCATCTTTAAGATTTAATACAGATGTTTGAATTTTGATTAGAAAATGGATATTAAATATTTTATTTATCAATCATATTTATATGGCCACCCATTGCCGAAGAAGTGACTTTAGGTGGCTAAATCATTAGCAAATGCCAGCATTTCTCGACCATGGCAACTTATTATAAATATTTTATTTATCAATCATATTTATATGGCCGCCCATTGCCGAAGAAGTGACTTTAGGTGGCTAAATCATTAGCAAATGCCAGCATTTCTCGACCATGGCAACTTTAAGATCTGTGGACTTCAACTCCCAGAGCTCTCCTGGCTGGGGAATTCTGGGAGTTGAAGTCCACAGATCTTAAAGTCGCCAAGGTCGAGAAACTCTGGCACATACTATATTCTCCTTCCTTGGCTTTAACAGACAGCGTCTAAGAACAAGTAACTTCAACAACAAGAGGCTCTTCTCCAAGTGTTAACGTCATAGCAATAATTATAGTCAAGTGTTATCTGATCACATCAAGGTTTCTATCACGATCTTTGGTATAAAATTAAAAGAGAGTCTTATGTCAATCAAAACAAAGCTAGAGGGGGTGAAGATGATGGTTTGGTTGAGCTGTATTCACAGTGTAGGGACTTAATATGGGCATGATAATATCATTATATGAATTACAAGTTTATTAATGACATCATGGCACCCAGGACATCATTTCACTCGTGGCTGCCCAAGAAGATGCTGAAGATGCCCAAGAAGATGCTGGCAGCCTTACATTTTAAAATGGAAATATTTGGCATTGACAATTGTGTGATTTGGTGAAAAGTGTGCCTTTTCAAAAACTTTCCCAGTTTGAAAACAGATTACTATCTTGTCTTCAGGGAGGCAAGGAGTAAAGCATAAACATTTTAAGTTGTTGCTCAATATTTTAAAGAAAGGAAAAAGAGGAAACAGCAAAAACATTTCAAATCACATGAACTGGTGAGCTCCCTTCAACAGATTGACCTACCCTGCTTCACCTCTCTGCAGCATTTTTGCTTCAGTTCATGCATATGAAATAGGTTATTAGCTACTGTACTAGCTAATTATTTGCTAATTAGGTCCCCAATTGTTTTATTTTTTCAATGCACTCCATGGGATTCAAAAAAGCGCATTTTAACTGGCATGCCATTTTGCTATTGGCCCCTCAACTTCCACTCATTTGTTAGCAACCAAACTATCCAGCATAATGTTGTAAAGATACTTAAAAACATTGGCCTAAAAGCTTGCCAAAATTCAGAAATCATTCTTTAGCTTATAACGTGATGGTTACGTTGTCTATCCTTGGAAAACTTTCTAATTTTGCTAGACCCAATTCCTCAAATACAGTATTTAGGTGGCTTGTTCTTATTTTTAACATGCTTATTTCAACTGTTACACATCAGCTATATTAGTATATCGCCTACACAGCTTTTAATACCGAAACAACATATTAGGTTTATGAACGAACCAAAAATCTATTACAGTCCAAGACCTGATGATACATCAGACTATTATAAGCCTAATAGCTGCACATATCAGGACCAAACAATTAACATAAAATGGGGGGGGGAGTTCCATCCATGTTATCTGGCTAAAATATCTAGGGCAGCTGGCTATAGGCAGATTTTTCCTCCCATGCCAACCAGCAAGTGAGTAAGCCAAGTGTAGCAATGTGTGTTTAAAACAGAATTTCAGGGGCATGGCAGAATCTCTACCCAGGAGCAGCTTGATTCACAAGCAAGACCAACAGGATATCTCAGCTCAAATGTTTGAAACATATGTAATATAAAGAAACACCATATCCACAAACATTGAAGCATTTTTCCTCAACAGTATGTGCTACCCTAAGAAAGTCTCTGCCTTCTAAAACCCGCAGTTGAAACATTCATCCCAATAATTTACAATTTCAATACTTGGCATCAAATCAGCCTATTTGTAAAATTGAAAAAGAAATTAATTTCCAGGCCACATCATTGGTCCAAGCCCTTTCATGCAGATTCTTATCAAACCTTTCGTGGCATCTAAAGTTTGATCTGAAGCCAAATTTCCAGTTCCCCAATATCCCAATTTCCCAGAAGCCGACCTACAACTATTTCCTTCTTTCCAGATAAGCCAGCCTTCTCCTCGGGATATTCACATTCAGTCAAAGAATAAAGCAGAATGTAACTGCTTTTTTTTTGCCTGCATTGATTTCATGTTCCTTTTGCTCTTCCTCACTTCCTTCCCTCGCCTTCTAAATTAAGATCAGCTCCTCGGGACAGGAACTTGTTTGCGATAGGCAGCAGTTGCAAAATAACCAATCCAGACTGACAGTCTTGTATCATTCTCACTCCCCAGGAAGACTTGAGCTAAGGTTCACACTGAAACACTATGACATCCCAGCCAGCCAGCAATCCTATCTTGCTTTTTTTCCTATGCTATATTTTCTCCTGGAAAATATTGATAGCTCAGGAATCTTAGGGTCTCAAGAGCGCCTCTCACAACTCCATTTTCTGACCAGCCCAGTCTGCAGACCTGACCCTTGCATGCACAGATGGAACCTCTTTTCCCTTCCAATAAGTATGTTATTACGATGATGCTAGGTCACAGTGTCAGCCAGATGTTTAGACCGGATTTGGAATTTTGGACTACTTATCGAGTCTCTCCCAAGGACCTGAGACAGGTAGATGCTGTTGCTTGATGGCATTAAGAAGTACAGGACGTTGTCAACTGTTCCAAGTCAATCTGCCTTCTGCAATTGACCGATGGGGATTGCGTCAATGCCAATGGTGTTCCAATGGCGCTCCAGATGTTTGGGGGGGTATCACCTAAGGCACCTATTGCTATTGGTAATACATTTCCTTTCTTTTGCTAATTAGGACAGTCAGCCAGATGTTCAGACTGGATTTGGCCCTTTCTAGTCACCTACAGGTCCTTCCCAAGCACAGGTGAATGTTTTACAGTGCCAAAAGGTACCACTGCATGATGGAAGCAGTTCCCAGTCAAGCTGCCTTTTGCAACTGACCGACAGGGATAGGCAGGCGCACAGTCAGCCAGATGTTCAGGCTGGATTTGGCCTTTATTATCCACCTTCAAGTACTTCCCAAGGACCCAGCATAGGTAGATATTGATGGTATGGTGGCAGGTTGTAAGCTGCTCCAAGCAAAGCTGCCTTTTGCAATTGATTGCTATATTATTTGGCAATGTGTGTTGCAGATATACGTATGTACATACCATAGGTACATGTGTGTTATGTATGTGCTTGGGTAGATATATTGCAGATGTATATGAGAGCAGGTAGCAGAATTTCATTTCTAGTGTGGGCAGGTGTGCTTGCAGTACAGAAAAAAAATGACAATAAAAGTTATCTATCTTATCTAACTTACAGGGGTCTCCCAAAACCCACCCATGCTCAGGGCTGCACCCAGACACCCCCCGCCCGCCCCGCCCGTGGCTTCCCTTGCAAGAATTTCCCCATGGCACCCCTTGGGTGGGTGGGGGTCGAGAAGGGGGTGATGAAGGGCAATCCTTCAGGTGCCTGCCCCCCTCCTTCCCCCCTCAGAAGATCCCCACCCAGACACTGCCCTCGCCCCCTTGGGCCACGCCTGGTGGGAGGAAGGGGGGGTCGGAAGGGGGGAGCCCGTCCCCTTCCCCCTCCCCTCCTCCCCTCTTTCCCCCTCCCCTCCTCCCCTCTTTCCCCCTCCCCTCCTCCCCTCCCCTCCCCTTCTCCCCCTCTCCCTTCTCCCCTCCTTCCCCCTCCCTCACCTTGTCCATCAGCTTCCAGCACTTCTCAACCATCTTCTTGTCCACGGTGCAGGGCTGGTGGGGGCCGAGGTGGTGGTGGTGGGGCTGGAAGGCGTCCTTCATGAGGCCGATGAGGCCCCCGGGGCCCTTCTTCAGAGGGGCCGCCATGAGAGGGGGGGGTGGCGCAGCGACACCCCCCGCCGGGCCCCTTGAGGAGGCCGAGGGAGTTCGGGCGGCTTAAGGCGGCTCCTCCTTTTCCCCGTCCCGAGGGCCGCGGAGAGCCCCGGCTCGGGCAGCGTCGGGCAGGGCTTGAGGGAAGCGGCTCCACGAGCGCCGGGGACGCGCCCGACTGACGAAGAAAAGGGAAGCGGGGAGGGAGGGAGGGCAGGAAGGGCTGCGGCGCATGCGCGCCGGCGCGAGCCTCTCCGGGCGGAGCCTCCTGATTGGCTGGCCGGACGGAGAGGAGGAGGGGAGGGCGATGGCTGGGAAGGAGAGGAAGGGAAGCGGGCGCTGGGCGAGCCTCCTCGAGGGGCGGCGTGCTGCCATTGGCCGCCCAGAACGCCGCCCCACCCCCTCCGGCGGGAAAACCTGCTCCGATTGGCCCAAGGTTTCGAGAACGCCTTCCCCCCCCCCCTTAGAAAAGCCGTTTACTGATTGGTCCGTGCAAAGGAAGAGGGCTGGGCGCCCCACCTCCCTCTTTCTCTTCACCTAAGATCGGCTCTGGCTCGCAAGCGGGAAGAAGCCGGGTTTTTAAATGACCTCAGTCCGATTATGCCAGGCATTTGTTCCCTTTGCGAAGGACACCCGAGAAGCCGGCACTCCCATTCCAGGCAGGACAAGAGGCATCAATTGCTCGCTCTGTTCACGCCCACCCGGCGTCGGATTAGCATAGCCCCGCCCCGCCGTGTGTCTTTAAATGTCTTTGGTGCGCCACAGAGCCGCGTGCGCATGCGCGGGGGCATGCGCAGTACTGGGGGGAGAGGCTCGCGGTGCCATGATGGGATGGGGCAGCCAGGCGTCTATAATAGAGACTGCAGGGTTGAGCAACCAGAATAGAAAAGTACAGTTATGCAATTGTGCTGGCCTAATGCAGCCCTCCTTCCCTGCCAGTCTATAAAACAATTATAGTGGCAGAAATCAAATTCCTTCTTGGGCTTTAATTCTGAACCAGCCAGGTGGTAACTGGAAGGCACAGCCAAGGAGAGAAAGATTCAGGGTGACTTGGTTTTCCTTTCTAAAATCAGATTAACAGAAGGGACCTCGTAGGTCATCTAGTCCAACCCCCTGGGGCCCAAGCAGGAGACGCTACACCATTTCTGACAGATGGCAGTCTTCTTGAAAGCCTCCAGTGATGAAGCTCCCACAACTTCCCAAGGCAACCTGGTTGATTGTTCCAACTGTCAGAAAATTCCACCTTATTTCCAGGTTGAATCTCTCCTGGGTCAGTTTCCATCCATTATTCCTTGGCTGTGCCTTCCAGTTACCACCTGGCTGGTTCAGAATTAAAGCCCAAGAAAGAATTTGATTTCTGCCACTATAATTGTTTTATAGACTGGCAGGGAAGGAGGTCTGTATTAGGCC